TAGCAATGAATCGACTGAAAGCTCTAAGAATGGTAAGAAATAAAATTCAGATTACTCTATACTAGTTCCGAATGTCATTACCTTTGAGTATAGTCCTTGTTGAATGTTTGATGCCTCCACTAATCGTGGTGATGTCGATTTTAGATGTGGTCAGTTCTTGTGTCTTGAGAGGGTGGGCTTTGTTTCATTGTTTTTTGTCTTTTTCCCATTTTTAGATCCTAAATTTAGGGTTAATAACCAATTTCTCAGTCATCAAGTAAAATGGGTCTTCTTAGTTAGCATCATACGGAATCAATTGATTGAATGCTCATATTTTTCATAGGAACTCTTTTCTTGTTTGGTGCAGGTAGTAATAGAAGGCTATCAGAGTCTTGGTTGTACAGTCCTGAAGCTGTGGCAGAATAGTAACATAGCTAAAATTGCTATCAAGTAGGGAGTTCATAATACTCACAACGAGGAAATGGCAACTGATCTTATGGCAACTTTTGGACCTACTAACTTTATCTTTGTGAAATTGACTTAAAAGCTTTCATTTTTCTTTCTTCGAGCATACTGTCAAACGACTTTATACTTTTTATCCTATTTCGCAGACCTGGTAATATGCAGCCTTCTCTCAAACGATTTTGACATCATCGAATTGCAACCATAAGCTTACCGCTGGTTTCCCAGGTGAGCTGATAATGAAATATATTTCACTTGCCTGCTTAATAGTCTCTCAAGGTTGCTTTAGTAGCATTTTTTGTTGTTTAGGTCGTAGAATGATCTAAATACCGTTCTAAAAGTAGAATATCCATGATCATAAAGTACCAAAAAGTACCCAATAAAACACACTAACATTCTAACCAGACCAATAACTCATAATATCCAGTTCTTTTTTTCTTCACTAAATGCAAGTCGAAAAACTCAAATAGCCAAGTTGCTGCTCCTTTGTTGATCACTTCTCGTACGTGGCTTCTTCTGCAACATTAAATACCCAAAATTTAGTATGAAATAGTATGGATGCAAAAATATTAGGTAGACATGCACAAGGAACTCTTAATATTACCCTTTGTTGGTCGTCAATGTCAGTAGTACCAACATCCTCAGCATTATCCTCCTCTGCTGACTCCGCGCAAGTTCTTCTATTATGTTGCGTTGAACCGCATCTTCTGCAATGTTTTTGTCTCGCCTTAGTTAATGTTTCTGTCTTGTTTTGGATGTCTAGGGTGTCACCATCCTCTTCATTTTGATTGCCATTGTTATTGTCTTCTTCCTCAGTCTGTGGGGTTGACTCTATAGTAGTCGGCCTTGCATACCCATGAGGGTGTGTACAAGTGGATTTATAATGAGCCCATTCCCCACATCTAGTACACTGTCTTTGCTCTCCTTTCTTCTTCTTCTTCTTCTTCTTCTTCTTCTTCTTGTTTTGTTGACCCCATGAACCTTTATGTTTCACCAGCAATGTATCCAACAACTTCTCTTTTGCCTTCGGTCTATGAATGTCTAGTGTCTCAGTATTACCAATATGCATCGTGTCTAGCGATTCACATAATGATAAAATTCCTTCACGAGCAAACTTGAAGCAATCACTAGATTTTGCTCCTTTTATGCATAATTGTAAGATGGCTTGTTGAATAATCCCATACCTGAAAGTCAGCATAGTTTAGTTAATGCAGAATATCCATGACAACTAGAGCTTTTATATTGACGCGTACTAAAAAAAGTTACAAAAGCAAGGGTACCTTTATGATAAAAAAGACACTGCCCTATGTTAACCTTAAAATTAAAGATAATTTGGGGTGAGCTTAGCTTTTAAAACACCTACATGTTGCTTTATTATGATAATAAGACAATTAATTGCGGTATAGAATAATCACAAACCTGAATGTGAAAAGTTGACCCTCATCGATATTATCTTGTTGCGGTAAGCTCTCTAGTGTCTTCGGCTGCTGTGACCACCTTAACCGTACCAAGACTTTAGGAAGTTTGAGTATCCCCTCTTCTTTTAGTAGAAAAACCATATGACAACATGGTATCCCCATATAGTTGTAATAATTACAACTACACTCAATGGAAAAGGGGTCAATTCTGTATTTGACCCGGAAAACCTTCTCTTTTCCAGACATTGTCAGCCTTTAAGTGCGCTCATTTGGCGATACCTCTGAATCCCTCTTTATGCAATCTCTAGACTTTTCAACCTCATCTCTAAATACAAAAAATGCCTTTTTTATGAATAAGGCAGCAACACTATTCTGAAGTGATACTAAGACATTGGACGTAATGCTTCGTTCACGATGAATGGATTCAAAATCAGCGTGTAGCTCAATCTCCCTCATATCTCTACTCCAACTATCAAAATTAATAAAAAAACTGAAGTAGATTGTTATCATTTTGGATATAATTGGTCAGCTGGGAGTCATTCCTTCACATCTAGATGTTGTTGCCAAACCTGCAAAAGAACTTAGAGCACAAGTATGTATACGCCCATTCAGTTCTTTGGTTAAATAGATTGGAAACCCTATTGTTGTGCTTAAGTGAGCACTCTTCAACCAATGATTTCCACTTAGCTTCAAAATCTGATGGTTCCAAGTCAGCTAAAACAAAATACTGCCATCGAGTAACAAAAATAGGAAATTTCTTCAATTTACTGATAATGGTCTTGTCTATGTGCCAAGAACTCAGACGGTGTTTTGCATCAAGGAATATTTGTTGAATTGTATTTCGCATAGATTTATCCCCATCTGTAATAACAGTCTTAGGAGCTACTCCGCCCCCCATCCTTCTCTTCAAAGCACCCAAAACCCATACATAATTTCCTTCTTTTTCATTATCTAGAAAAGCACATCCAAATATGCAAGTGTTTGAATGGCGGTTCACACCTAATGTTATGAACATCCAGCAACACATCCAAACTCCTACTATATTAGGCTTCTAAAATCAAAAGGAGGTTAATATATTATGAAAAGAATGACAGGATTAGTACCTGAAAAAATGACTAGAGGCATCTTATAAATGTTCCTTTTGTACGTCGAATTAAATGCCAGTTATTCTCTAAAGCATGCATAATCAGCCACCAAAATAGAATCTGCCCAAAACAAGTTAATAAGGTTGTCTGCAACGGTTAGTGAAACGATTTGATCTGTTTTCATGCCTGCAGCTCTTCAAAAATTAATTGCTGCTTTAATTGCATCACTCATACGACGATTCCCTTTCATGTAGTGCTTGTATATATGGGGAATCGGTGCATGTGAGTGTTCGTTATCAAAAGTGTCCACAAACCAAGTCGAAGTAAACTTTTCATATCGAACACGCATCCTAGCATTGCAGTCAAACCTTGTCTCTGCTCTTGGCTCTCGCTTTCTTGTTGTCTATTTTTTACGCCTTTTTCCCTCACAAGAACATACAAACCAGCGACGTATCGGGAGATTGTCATTATCTCGACCAATTTCCTCTTTTCTTACGTCAAACCTAGTGGCTAGCCCGTAGTCCCTCCAGAAATCATATGCTTCGTCTAGATCTTTGAATCTGAGTTTCATAATATCTTCTTTCTATAGAAGTAGTAGATTGGCAAGATCATCTTCTTCTAAATTTGAACTAGTATCCCCGTTTGGATGAGTTCTCTGCACTGCCATGTACTCGGTGTTAGGATTAGAAGAATCCTTGTCATCGTTTGGATGAGGTCCCTCCGCTGCCATGTCCTCCTCGGTGTGAGGATTATTAGCATCATTGGCATCGTTTGGATTAGTTTCATCCTTTGCCATGTTCGTGAGACGATTTGTGCAACTCAGAAAATCGCAGCTAACAAGTATTGATTTCCCTATGACTCTAGGGATTTAATAGAAATTTATGACAGATATAGTTTCCATGTTCATAAGAACTTCTCTTATTATGTTTCATTAAATGAGACGATTTGTGCAACTCAGAAAATCGCAGCTAACAAGTATTGATTTCCCTACGACTCTAGGGATTTAAAAGAAATTTATGAAGATATAGTTTCCATGTTCATAACAACTTCTCTTATTATGTTTCATTAAATGAGGGGATGGATGTAGAAGTTCCCTGAGTCCGAATAAGACTTGCCACAATTAACTTCTACGCTACTACGTTATTCCTAAAGAGAGAGAGAGAGAGAGAGAGAGATAGATAGAGAGAGAGGGGTTAAAAAAAACCCTTATATCTCGGCTATTGAACCACATCACTCGAATGACAGCACAATACCGCAGCCTCAGCACTTAATTAAATCACAAACCCCCTATTGCATTCAAAAGTTAGCATAAGCCATTTGCGTTTATAACATCATGGGGAAGGAAGGGTATACTTTTTCAATACTCTTTGAAATTTCTTTTAACTTATGTTATGTGATTTTGGTGTTTTTGTTCTCCTCGTCCACATGTTGATTTTTTGTACAATTATATTAGGGAGGAGATCAATATGCCCAACAATATGTCTCGCGGCCAGTGGATTACATGGCTAACCCGTTCTGCATCAAAGGCTTTGGACTATGTATCGCCCATGAAGAAAACTAAAATGGGAGATGATGTGACCCCCCCATGGACGTCGTGCTCGAATGTGATTGTTCTTGACAGTGAATCTGGAGTCGACCCTTACGAGAAACGCGTGGGAAAAACACCAATTTTCCGACACAAAACTTGTCAACGAATGTATGGAAATCCAAAATACAAGTCGAGCATTTTACATTGTTCTTTCATTAATTTGGTCTTTCATTAATTTTTTACGAGATATGTGTTTGTTCTTTCCTTAAATTTTTTCATTTGCAAAAAAAAAAAAAAAAAAAAAAAGTGGATTGCTTTAGATTTGTGATTTCCTCTTTGTGTTTACTTTAGAGTTTATGGGTTCCAAATCAACAACCCAGTAAACCCGACCACTTTAGATTAGCCTGCACAAACTAGTACCCCATTGAAGTTGTCGATGAAGAAAAGAAAATGATTAATTATTAATTGTTTTCGTTCGTTGCCCATCATTGTAGGGTACCACAAGGTTTAAGCTCCCTCAAACCATAAGCTACAGTGAGGAAGAAGTGAAGCTTGCTCACTATATCTTTGATGAAGATCTTCCACCTGATGAACCCTTGGTCCAAATTCTGTCAGAGGTTTGTAGACGGAAGACATTGTGGAGCTTATGCCCTGCGTCATGTGTCCATGCTGATGTAAATTCTGTTTTGCTTTGCTTTGGCAGCTCTGCTGTTCTTGCGGGTCTTTTCTTTGGTTTAGAGCTGGGTTTTTGGTTTTGTTTTTCTGCAGCAGCTCCTACTTGCTCTGTCTTCTAATGTAATTTCCTTTTGTTCTCTTTTTCCTTCTTTCCCTTTAATAAAAGTGATGTCTGGTATACTGGTCGTGGAAAGCTCGTGTGCTTTCTGCCTACAGAATTTCAGGTATATAGCGATTTTACTTTATAATTCTATTCCAGTTAAGCATAATTGGTTACTTTATTAAGCCATCTCAATGTTGATTTTTTTTTTAACAAACAGGATCTGGTCATGAATTATGGCATGACACCTACAATTGCATTAGAGTCATTCCATACAAAATTTCTTTCAAAAGCTCTTAACTGCAGAAAGGTTATGACTTCTCAAGCCACCCATATTATCATGTTTGCTTATTTAGTAAGGATTTGTCAACATAATTTTAATTGTTTTAATTTCTTTGTTCAAATTTCACGAATCGTGTCCTCAAATTAGTAAGTTGATTGTGTAATTTTCTCTTATATATGTAGGTGTGTTTGCTCATGCAAGATATGATGGATGATGGAGGAATCCACTGGTTTTTAGCTATTATTTTACTGGACGAGGAACAAGTCCAAATCCTGGATCAGTTTCCATCATGGGAGCGGATAACAGTCCGTATGAGTGCGGTGGAAACAATGGTATCTTTAGAATTTTTGCCTAAAACCAAAGATTATATTTGCCAACTAAATTACATATTTCATTAAACTTGTTTGTAACTTTTGCAGATTGAGTTTGTGGACGACTTGTTCAATGCTTTGTATAAGGAAGTGGAAATCAAATGTGCACCACCAAAGATTAAGGAGTTTTCTTGGTCAACTCCTTCATGTACAGAACAACAGCACAAGTATGAATGTCTGTTTTTAGCATAATTTCAATATAGAAATAAATTATATGTTGATTACATAATGTATCTTCTTAATAGGAATGATAGTGGGGTTAGGGTGTGCGTCTGGATGATGGGTGCATCCTGGTATTCTCACTATGGCATTTGGGTAAGAAATCACATTTCGCTAGACGACCTCTTAGTATGGTCCATTACAAAAGTATGTCTATGTAGAAGAAAGTTTGTAATGCATTATATTTGTTGTTCATATAGCCTTGTGGTGATAGGAGGAGAATGCAGGTGGCTCTGTACCTTGTCAAAGAGCCAACAAATTACATAAGGCACAAAATTCTCAAGAAAGCAATTGCAAATGCACCGAGGTTTAAAGCTCAGATACTTGATTACAAAGAAGCAAGCAATAAGAAGGAAAACAAGGGATTATGAGATACCTAGTGTGCTCTAGATTTTTATCATTCATTTTGTTTTATCCTAGATTTTGAACTTGTTTAAGGTATCGTTTGGAGACAATTCATTGCATTGAATATTTCATAATTTTCTTGAATGTGGCAGATTGACAATTTTGGAAATTGCATTTTCACTTGTTGTGGATATGTATGTGATATGTTATATTTATGACCATTCTAGAGATCTTTTAGTATTTTATTTTTTTAGGTGAATGGTAGGTTTATGCAACCCACATGTTTGGCCATTATGCAGTGGCATCTCAGTTCAGTTTTGTGCTCTGCGGGTGCCGCCACTGAATTGAAGTGGAGTTTGATTCCCATTTCATTTTATTTGATTAGATGGAATCTTTTAGTCCGTGACATTACACTTTCTCAACTCTGAAAGTCTTCTTCGGACTTTCTTCTCTCTTCTTTGCCTCTGCCAAGGCAAATCTATGAAAATCAAATTGGTTAATTGGAAAGATCAAAATCCACAGTGTATTCCTTTGTCTGATGCTTTGAGTGTCATTTTTACAACAAAGAAGCAAACTTGTAGGCGGTAGTGGATAAAAAAAGATGGAAGATTGAGTAGTAAGCGGTGAAAGTTATTAAACATCTTCATCCCATCCCTCCTCCTCCTTAAAATTGACTTCTCCCATGTTCGCCGATTTGGAGCGATAAATGTTTTTAATGAAAAGAAAGGAAGGGATGGTGAAAAGACCCCATCAGTAGCTCCTCAACATAAGAAGCATACAACAAGTTACAAGTTTGCTCCATATTTCCGTGGGAAAAGCAAGAGTAACAGGACAACAAACCATAACAGAAAAAGGAAAATTTAACTAACAACGCCTTACCATTTCGAGTAATTACAAACTGCTTATCGGCAGGTAAGTAAGGCTTCCTCTTGCTAGACTCACCTGATTCCCTATGGAACAGAGATTAACAGGAGCATTAATACCTTTACTAGCTTATAGAGAGTTAATACAAGCCTGAGTAAGGTCAAACTTTTTGCTCATGGAATTGTAGCAAAGTTCGAAAAATTTCCAATCGCTTTGCTGGAATTGGACGAATTGAACGAATCTTTTTTTTATTATCATTGAACGAATGGTAGCAAAGTCCTCCCTACTGTTTCATTTCCGCCGAACAAAAGCTTTTCCAATCCATTTAGCAAATTTCAATCGGCCAAGGAAACAGCTCCAGATTCAACTTATCAAGAGGCAAGATGCCCCTAAACCTCTACAGGGAAGCTTGAAGATAGAGAAATTTACCATGACCAGTTCCAGATTCATCATCCTCTCTTCTTCCAAGCCGCACCCATTTCTTCTCAAGTGCGTGGTTTCGATCGTCGACGACAGCGCGACCATGTTCCCGTTCAATTCGTTCAAATCCCTACCTTTAAACGAGAAGCTCGTGCTGTATCCGCCGAATTCCGCCCAGGCGCTGATTTTCCCCAACCTCTTGGCGTGCCTCCGTCGATTAAACCTGATTTAGACAGCGAGCTCGAAGATGTAGTGGATTCCTTCGTCGCCGTATGAGAGGATGGAGAGGATCAGTTCCTGTTGGGAGTGGAAGTGGGAGGAGCAGGAGCCACTGCGGAGGAAATTCACGTACTGAACGAATTTCCTGATGCGGAAATGCCTTCCTGCCGAGGCCGACGATGGACTCGAAGCTCTTGACGCGGTTGGGTAGAATTAGGGTTTCGGGGAGGATCGTGGAGGATAGGATGATCTGGGCGGAATCAATATGAAGGTGGAGGGGATAGTCGGGACTTGGGTCTGTGAAGAATAAGAAGAAGAAGAAGAAGAAGAAGAAGAAGAAGAAGAAGAAGAAGAAGAAGAAGAGGTAATTAGGGACGGTCTGTGGAGGGTATGCCCTTTAGTTCTCTAGGGACGTGGGTTTGGGTATTGGCGTTGGATAGTTGAATCGAAAGATCAATCCAAAAAATCATTTCACCCAAACCAATTAATTAGACTAAATTACAAACATTTATATCTTGTAAGAGGGTTTTGGTAATTATTGTTATAATTAATGTGATTTAACGACGAAAAATAAAGACCCATTGAGATCACACGTACGGTAAAAGATCATCCAGGGTATGTTATACCCCGGATTTTACCCGGGGTACCGTAGAAGGCACCATACATATATATAACCAAGGGTATACTTGGAACAAAAAAGGAACTCAACAATCTTCTCAAAACTATCTCAACAATCTCAATTTTTAGTAGAGATAGTACTATCTCTCATTTTGAGTGATAGTTTCCATCACACAAGCAAACAATGCATGTATTATTTGTGCAGAAAATTAAAAAAAACAATGTATGCACATTCTCCATTCATGTGAGGGATTTTTGGGATTTATAGTGGTGTGAATGGAAATAAAAAGGGGAAAGTTTCAAGAGAGTATTTTGAAGTACCATGTTGGTAAGATGTGGGAAGGCACGGCCAATTCGATCGATTTGATGTAATATGTGGTTAATCGGTTAAATTGGTTTGTGTACCAAACGGACCAAACCGAGTTGAACCAAATCGAACCGAACCAATATGGCGGTTGGAATAACCAAACCGGTCCAACTACCATGGGCTGAACCGATGCAATGGTTCATTATTTCAAACATGAACCAATGTGTTGGTTGCGGTGTAACCACCCATATGAAGAGTCGCCTCCCTTCGTACGCACCCCTTCATTTTCTATAAATAGCACCTAACCCCCCTCAGGTTTTCATAGAGATTTTTTCCGATACGAAAATTCTGCCAAAATCCAAAACTAGTTTTCTGCATTCTTTTCAAAGAGAAAATAGAGTCAAGTGTGGTTCTCGCCGGTTCGCTGCGTTCGATGGTTTCCGGGGTTTGAGGTACCGCTACACCGGAAAAGGTACGTCCTTTCTATCCTGGGAGGAATCATTCCATAACCTTGGGTACTTGAGCGGAATAAGATTCTTTAAGATTGTTGGGGAAAAAGTATTAGTAGGTTTCATGGGATGTTGGCCTACGTGCATGCATTTTTTTTTCTCTGGTTGTACTTTGTCTTGTATATATGTGAAAGATGGAGTTCATGTTTATTTGTTTCACAATCTTGAAAGCAAATTGGAACAAGATGGCTGGAAGCGTTCCAAAGCCGAAGAACCTCATCAATGTTGATGAAGATGACGATGACGATGACGTCGTAGAGGTCATCAATATCGAATAAGATTCGGAGATCATTGATCTCTCTATTCCCGAAATGGAGTTTGACAATGAAGAATGGTTCGATATTTTTTACGAAAGCGGGGATTGGGTATATAATGACATTGGTGGAGAGCATCCAACCAATTAGGACTCTAGATGACATACCCATCTATGATTGGTACTCAATGGGTCCTAATGTGGACGATTTGGGCACCCATGTGGACTCGATGAAGAGTATGGGGGATTAAGAGGAAGTTGAGGAATCGGAGAACGAGGAGGAGGACTCCGACATAGAGACCGATGAATGTCTCTCTGATCCTGACTTCGACCCCAATAATCCTTAGGATTCTTGTATATGTATTGGAATCTCCTTTGAGGAGTAGACATATGTATGTGTGTATATATACATATGGTATTAATATGTGTATACCTATGTAAGTCGTGTATTTAAATGATGAATAAAGGACAAATGTTCTTATCTCCCAAGTGGAAAATTAGTTGGATAAAACCTTGCGAGTTTGATTGGTTCCAAAATTAACCACAAAGTTGTAATGCTTTTATTGCATTGGTCCATTTCATTTTTGTGGCATGGATGAATGATAAATGTGCCAATTTAATTTGGACTTCATTCAAGGTGATGCATGAGAGGATGGAAGAACTTATGATAGCCCTTCGTGAACTATAAGTAAAGGTGGTTGGATAGTAATAAACTATCTAGTGGGATAATATGAACAATCATAGGTGTGTAAAACCTATGGCGCATGGCAAGTTGGGACTTGTGAGTCAAGTCTATCTAAGTCGGAATGGTTGCAAATTTTATGTTCATAGTATGTTGGACATAGTTTGAAATAGTATACCTCCAATGAGTTGGAGATGAAATTTGGTTAATGCACGTTTAAAGGATTGCATTACGAGTAAGCCATAAGCGATAAGGAATTCTAATTCCTAAGATGCTTATAAGGACATAATAATTTATTTATTATGTATGTGGTTTAGGACTTGATATTACCTATGCCACGAGGGCAAGGAAAATAAAGTGATTGATCCTTATAGGTAGTAAGCTTGTCAAATGATGGTCGTCATCAAGATAAGCATTAGGTCAGAAATGTTTATGGTATGTGTACACTATACCATTGGAAAACAATTTGACTATGATTATCAACGTGGAGCTAGTTGCCAAAATTGTTTATGGTATATATATAGATATATAACATTGGAAAACAATTTGGCATGAGAGCTCAATTGAGATAATCATGTTGAACTTAAAGTCTGGATTACTTATGGTATATTTATGAAGTTTATACCATTGGAAAGTAATTAGACAATTGAATTAGAAATTCATTTGAATTACTTGTGGTATACATGTTACATAGATGAAATGTCATTGGTAAGTAATTCGATGGGATTTTCATTACTGGAATGCATCTGAATTACTTATGACGTTTCAAGTTGCCTTGATCAATACCATTGGTAAGTAATTAGATGATATTTCTAATACAATGTGAATTGTTTGTGGTATGTTAATCGAGTGAGATCATACCATTGGTAAACAACTAGATACTTATATTGATCGGCAAGTTCAATAAGTAAAACCATGGAAAATAAATGGGATTATTCCATGATGTTTGGCAAAGGGTATAATTATGGGGGGAGAAGAGCTAGACATTGTTTCGGCTACTATCTCAAGACCCTACAATGGGACGCAAACCTATCCATAAGACAAAAGTGGAAAGGTAAATGAAGTCATACTTGAAAGTATGAAGGTGTCCAATGAGAAAGTGAGAGTCCTTAAACCTTGTGGAGTTAACCCAGTCCAAGGGTATAACTTATGAGTAAACTCCAGCATATATTGACGTTATGTCAGAGAGCTAAAATATTTTTTTATATGTTGATCCACTCTTCCCAAAGAGATGATTTTTACCAACATTCCCCAACCCGAAGCATTGGTTTCAACAACTATGGCGAAATAGTTGAAATGTGGGGGATAAATTGGGGAGAAGTGATGTGGAATGTCGCTTGGGTGATTCCAAAGTGAAGTGATTCCAAAGTGAATGTCGCTTGAGAGTTTTTCGTAAACTCTAAGCTAAGTGATAAATGTGACTACATTTGAAGAGATACTTGTGAAGTTTAAGTACTCTAAGGTTAATGAAGTAGAGAGACTTCAACACCGTTGGCATGTGTTATGATCATTGCAAGGAAAGAAAATCAAGGCAAACACACATGATATTTAGTGAATTAAAAGAGACGAGTCTTTGATGAATTTTACCCAAAGGAACTCACTGGGTGAACCAAAAGCCATAGTCCATTAATGGATAGGCATTTATGGTTAACGAGGAGCAGTATCTTGGAAAACGTCTAAGTTAAACTCTAAGACCGGTGAAGTTGAGTAGTTTGACTCGCAAAGATTGGCACAAAATGGTTATTACAAGGGCTAGAAGTGTTATGTGAAAAATCTCGTCGTAGAAACATAACATTATTGATTGGTTAATTTCTAGCGAAGTTATTGGAGATGATCAGTTTAGATCAAGTGATAACAAACGTGGGGCCCATCTAGAAATTAATTTAAGCATCGAAGGGAATGGACTCGTGGCCTAGGAAAAATCATCATGGCGGTAACTCTACCTAAGAAGGATTGGCAGACCCAACCTCTAGGTTCTAGGAGAAAACAATGTTGTGAATGATTGTCCGACATTGTCAAATTATTCAAAGTCCATTCTCATGATGAGACAATGTCCAACTATAAGGGTAAACCTAAAGATGGAAGGTTTTTAATGGCTTCTAAGGTTTTAGATCAAGTGATAACAAACGTGGGGCCCATCTATAAATTAATTTAAGCATCGAAGGGAATGGACTCGTGGCCTAGGACAAATCATCATGGCGGTAACTCTACCTAAGAAGGATTGGCAGACCCAACCTCTAGGTTCAAGGAGAAAACAATGTTGTGAATGATGGTCCGACATTGTCAAATTATTCAAAGTCCATTCTCATGATGAGACAATGTCCAACTATAAGGGTAAACCTAAAGATGGAAGGTTTTTAATGGCTTCTAAGTTTGACATAGGATGTGATCAAATAGTGTATTTTTTGGAATACAAGTTTAGAAATCACCTATGTGAGTGTGAAGTGGAGCCGCTTCAGGGAGAATAAAAGAAGGCCAGTTCTCTAAGCACTCATGAGACCAGGCGGTGCTCATGGCTAAAACGAACACAACAATGAGAACCAGTGAACGTATAAGAGTTAGTTGTGTGACATATGTTGTCTTAGTAAACAAGCAAAACCGACGGTTCAAAGATATCACATCTACTTATTGGTGAGTATACTCGATATATGTTCACTAAGGAAGGTTCAAAGGGAAACCTACCTATTTCGATGCAACTAATTCTTAGTCGAGAGTCACACGATTTTTGCATAGTTTTAAAGTAAAACATTCTCCATTCATGTGAGGGATTTTTGGGATTTATAGTGGTGTGAATGGAAATAAAAAGGGGAAAGTTTCAAGAGAGTATTTTGAAGTACCATGTTGGTAAGATGTGGGAAGGCACGGCCAATTCGATCGATTTGATGTAATATGTGGTTAATCGGTTAAAT